TTTTAAGCTGCAGAATCTATCTTCTTTCAGCAGTACAGGGAGTTGTGTTAATTACACACCAAACTCTTGCTCAAAGTTAATTAGAAAGAAATCAAAAAAGTCACAGCAGAACCTGGTTAGACTGACAGACAGACTTGCACAACTGATAGGAAGATTTAGGAGTTATGTTAAGTCACAAGAAAGTTGTTAAGGCATTATTGCTAACAAGATTACTAACTCTTTATGCTGCCAAGACACTTAGGAAGAAAAAAACACTGTCTTACGCAAAGCAATACAAACTCTGGGCATTTTCTAAGCTACACCATCACTGCTACCTGAGCCAATATTAAGTATTTCCTCTTCAGTCTATATAGTCACATGGTACTAAATCTAGCCAAAGAAAAGCAGAGCAAACTGATCTAAAAAATGGCAAGTTTGGCAGTTTTTACTCATATAATCACTGTGCACTTCAATTCTCCAGTCTAGTAACAATGCCAGCTTCCAAACCCCTTTCACTGTCATCCTCTAGAACAACTTTTGTAACTATGCAAAAATTTTCTATCTGGTTTTTCTATCCAAGAGTGAGCCACATGGCAGGACACTAGCACAGGGCACTGCTGTGCCAAGTACTATACAAATGTAAAACAAAATGGTTCCTGCTCTGAAGAGTTCACTGTGCGTGGAAGCTTGTTCTGCTCAGTCCTTATATGTCTAACTCCACTGTGATGTCTGCTAGAGCCTTCTTAAAAACTTTTTTCCAAACAAAAAGCTCCCCATAACTTCAAACAAAGAACTCTCTCATTAAAATTAGCTGCCTCTTAACCTTACACCATCTAACCTGCCCGTATAAATGAAGAATGCTCTAATTTATGAGTACCCTCTTTTGTTTGTTTGTCACTGTTACCATTTATTTAGAGATTTCACAGGCAAAAAAGCCATAAATACCTATCCCAGCAATGTAGATAACTGCACTCTGACAATTGTTTAAAAGAACATAAAATCAAACCACTGGTAACCTCCTACTAGGTCAGACATGTAAGAAAAATGGTGTAAGATCTCACTTTTTCATAAACATTATGCTTTAAGCAACAAATCACACAAATCAGTCAACTGACAGAATACTATTTGGGGAATTACTAAAAGAAATTGAGAAAAAACTGCTGATGTTCATGATTTCAAAGGGAAACAAAACAGTATTAATAGCCGAAATGCAAAATGGAAGGAATGAGATTGATCTTAGATATGCTCTGATTGTGACATTCGGTATAATGCTGCCCAGATTCTGCCTTCTAATTGCTGATGTAAACTTAACCCTGGAGTAACAGAATACATTGCAACCCCTAGACTAAGTGCTTGAATACAGCACAAATGCTGCATAAATATGCCTGAAGATGAAGGTCTTTTTTGGACGAGGATTTAATGTTTCCTCTGCCAGAGACCTTACCAATCAGTGATTATTCTGAACCTGGTGTTTGAATGCAGGCTTCCCCAACAGTACAGAAGTGGGGCTAACATTCCCCCTTGCAGGCTAATGGCTAAACTGCCTTGGACAGGCAATGTAGTGTCAGCCTGTTCAAAAACACAAAGGAGACGTAAGTAGAGTTTTTTCTAACAGGTAAAGGGCCCTAGTATCAGCTAGGACAAATATGCCAGGAAAAGTTACTTTCAGTGAGTGACTACATAAAGGGACTAGTTAGTTTGCCTATCCTGTGAACTTGTTAGACACAAGCATACTTTTAATTCTGCCCTTCCTGGCCAAATATGCCACTTCTTTTATCAGGTGAGCATGTTCCTGAAGCCAGATGTTATGCATTTATCTTCACAATATATTAGGCACCAGGAGATCAGCAAACTGCTATCTCTTTCTGCTTTCTGGCAATCACAGAGAGGGTTAATTTATTTTCCAAAAGACAAATAGATGGCATTCTGCAGGTTCATGTTGAACAGTCTGTGGGCCAGTGGCCCATACTGACTAAGACGGGCTTGTAGTATGAAAAGAAGCAGATAGACACGTCTAACTCTAGATAGAGGATTTACCAGTATCCAACTCACTAAGAAGTAGGCTGTTCTTCTGTGAGATACCTCTGGAAAATTTTCCATTTGGGAGAACTAGTGGTCACCACCAGACATCACAGCAGCACAAAGCCAGTTGGTGACGTAACTAAGAATAGACTCAGTCTCTCCACTTCCATAGTGGATTTTGTTGCTGAACACAAGAGGAACAAGGTCATACCGAAGAAATAAAAAATGGCTTTGCAAGATCTAAGCCCATTAATGTGAGCTAGGTCCATTTGCCCTGAATTCCTCTCCTTCCCCACAGACTCAACCTTCTTTCAGCTGAGGTTGATTCTAGGGGATTATCTCCAGAGCCCATTAAATGCTGCTCCAAGGTTGGCCAAAGACACTGCTGCTGAAGGACATGACACCAGCAGGTGTGACAAAGCTGCCTTGCCAGTGTTTGGGGCAAAAGATGGCGTCTGAGATTTTGGCACTGGGCTGCTGAGTTCCAGTTTGATTGTTGCTCGCTATGTTTAAAGCTGCTCCAAACACTTTCTGTGAGGCTAATCCTTATAGTTTCTCTATTGATCAGTATTTCCTGATATTCATCCTCATATTCTCAATTCTAGTCTGTAGCTCTAATTATTACTTTTCCTCCCCTGGTTCCTTCAACTATTTATGTGTTCCTAATTAGAGGAAAAGAGAAAAATCAGTCTCTAAGAAAACTGGCACTTACCTGAAGCATCACGCATACCTAGTTAATTACTTAACAGTTGGCATGAAAGCATCTCACAGTGGAAGAGCAGCAATACATTGTTTTCCAGGTGCCAAAGCTAGCAGGCACTGTCAGGAAAAAACCTAAATTGATCATCATGCAATGCATCCCCTCAGTGTACCAGAGGGTGTGCAATAAGGTTTTAAAAAAATAGTTCTAATCCTCATTCTATTTCTTTCCATTAAAGGAGAAAACTGTAGCATATCCTTCTCTGGGTGGCATTTCTTTCTAAGATCCTCTGCAAGTATGTCAAAAGAAAGCGTAACTTTGAAGTACCGATAATACTGGCTGCCTAAGCACAACACTAGTGTAGTAATGCAGGTACAGCTCAAACATAAGGACAGTTTCTTCACTCCCTGCAAGAAGCTGTCCTGAAACAGTGAATTCCTTATCCAATGGTGACCTTCGTTCTTTACCTTAATGGAAAGCACTGCTAAAGTGTGACATCCTGAAAAAACACCAGCTCTGGGGTGTTGTGACCAAGTGTGTCACCTAGCCCAGAAAAACTGGATGGGTAAGTCACATGCTGTGCTCAGGCAGGGGGTAAGAGCATTTCTGTACATGAGAATCACTTCACTGTAAACACAAGTGCACTGGATTTTCAGCTCCACAGTACCATTTTATAAAGTGAATGAGTTGGGGGATTGTAAGAGTCAATTATTCAGATTGTTTCAGTAAAGAAAACAAGTTTCTGCAGCACCACAACACTAAAGCTTCGGGAGCTGAGGAGGCTCCACCATAGCTCAGAAGCTCTGATACAGAGATGCTGTCTATCTGATGCACTTTGATAGGAGACATGAAACTTTGAGATGCATGATTTCTTTTCACTCTGAGCAACTCCAAAAAAAACCCCTTGAAACCTTGAAAACCCTTGCTTCCAGTGTAAGGCTGATTAAATTGCGCTCTCCTACCTTCCTGATCCTGTCAGTCCTTTTTACAAGAATGGCATTTCCACCAGTCAACTTTTTCTCATGTACATGACAGTCACCCCTATTCTATACAGTCCCTTCTGGTGAAAATCATCATGTACTCAAAATCTTGATGCTACTTCAGACACACACCAGACACAATGCATCTGATACCATTTCCCTCTCCATGCACTTGCTTGGTATCCTCTTAATGCAGCAGACAGGTACCTTTTTACCCCCACCCTATCTGAAGGCAATGTTGCTTCTGAGTGTATCCACTTTAAAGGAATCCTCATGTTTCAGTGCTTGGAGCACTGCGCAAGGATTCACTCACTGTCGTGAACCTTTGTGCATATTCATTTGGTTCTCATTAATAACATGTAAATAGTCTGGATTAAATGAAGAAAGATTCACAATTAAGAGCACAGACCCCTGTGTCAAGCTGTAATTCTTACTGTGAACATGAACATTTTACTACAATGTGCAGGACAGGGTCATTCTCCATATAATTCCCTCAGTATTTCATAAAACTAATATGAAATAAAGAAGTTTTTTTGTATTATCGGTTATCCTCCCTATTTTTGTCCCAAGAAAAACATTGTCTAGATACAGTGTTGACTTTCATACAAAACCAGTCTAGTAGGGTTTGATTATCCAGAATGCAGACAATAAAAAAATCACTCAATTTGACAACAGTAAGTGTGCTTTCTGAGGACTTTTACCAAACTCCGTACTGTTTTGAAATTAGATAAAAGTCGTCAGACTGGTGGGGTTCAAATATTTCAGTGCCTGTAAAGGCAACAGAAGCATTTGCGGTGGGGCATTAAATAAACTGGAAATCAATTCTCAATCTCTGATCTATGTAACTTGAAGTTGTACTAATTTCTTTCTATAACACAACCCCTCTTTGCTTCTGTGTTTCTTATTGCAATAAAAAGCCCAAAATATTAAACATACAGAAGAATTACATTATAATTTGTAAACCAGAAATAATATTATTCTGTTTTCAATGTTCTAAATCCTTAAAGTTCAGCTTAAATAAACGTCATGTACCAACTCCTTAAACAGCGTTAGCAATGTAAACAGCATTTAAAAATGCAAGAAGTTCAACTTTATAAAAATTACATCTGCAGGCTGTTAAAGGAGAATCTGCAAGAAATGTCAAACAATACTGTTCCTTGTGTACTCCACTGAAATAACAAGAAAGTTGCATCTGGAAACAGTTGCTGGCACAGGACTTAAATAAAGTATTGCATTACCTTTAGTGAACTAAATATTATTAATCAAGAGCCAGATATAGCAGTGTGCCATCCAGCTGGCTTGTAATTCAATTAATTTACCTTCTTGGGAGATGACAATGGACTTTGATGATTTGATGGTTTTGCTGTCTAGAGTCCAGCTGACAGCTGCAGGGGGATCAGAGGAAATTCGACATTTTAAGACCAATTTTTCACCATCTACTACTTGAGCATCCTGAAGCTTCTCTGTAAAGGAAGGTGCTGTTCCTTTGCTTGCTGGTGGTTTGCTTTCTGGTGCTTTGTTTTCAGCTTTTTTCCCAATTATTCCACCATCTACTATTTGAGCATCCTGACGCTTCTCTGTAAAGGAGGGTGCTGTTCCTTTGCTTTCAGGTGCTTTGATTGCCATTGCTTTGTTTTCATCTTTTTTCCCAATTATTCCACCATCTACTATTCGAGCACCTGGAAGCTTCTCTGTAAAGGAAGGTGCTGTTCCCTTGCTTGCAGGTGGTTTGCTTGCTGGTGCTTTGTTTTCAGCTTTTTTCCCAATTATTCCACCATCCACCACTGCACACCCATGTTCACAGTTTCTGTCATTCTTCTCTTCTTTTTTCACTGCTGGTTTGACAACAGGGGCTTGAGAGTTGGGGGTTGCATTCTGGGCTTCTGTATTGGTGCGGGCATTTGGTGCTGGAGTGCTAGCACTGCCATTTTCTGCAGGTGGCTTTTTCTTTGAGCCCAGCACAGATCTGAAATCTGTAATGGCAGGTTTAGGAGGTGGCACCTTCTCTGGCAATGGAGTTTTTGGGGTGCCTTTCTTGGCCAGCACAGAGCGAAAGTCCACCTGCTGAGGAGCATGAACTTTCCTTTCCTCCTCTGACAAGGTCTTGGGTTTGACCTGTCTCTGCAGGTTCGCTCGGAAGTCCATTTGCTCGGCTGGGATTTCTTTCAGTTCCTCCTCAGAAAAGCTTTTGGTGCTGACTTTCTTGCCTAAAATGTCACGGAAATCAAGTTGCTCAGCTTCCTGCTGCCTCAGGCTCTCCTCTGTGTGTTCCCGAGTTTCTACTCGCCTCTTCAGCACACCTCGGACGTCTTCCTGCTCTTCCTCAGCTGCTCTGGTTTCACTGCTGTTCTTTTTGAAGCCACTTGTTCTACCAAATATTAGTTTACCATGATCTCCACCATCTCTTCGCTCTCCAGAGCTGGCTGATTCCTTCCCACTATAATCCGAAAAAGAAAAGAAAGAGAGAGCCAGGAAAGGGGCTGGTTTAAAAATGTCAGGGAACAATCTCAGAGCAGGAACAAAATGTGTTTATAGAAGGGGAGGTTGATTAGAGGAGCACACTCCATTAGTTTATTGCATCAATGATGACTTCAGGAACCATATAAGGGCACAAACAAAAAAGATCTTCTCTACTCTGGCTTGGTACAACGTGCTTAGCCTGTATGATGAAAACAATTTGTTGGGTCACATTTGGGGATTAGGTTGAACAGCAGCCAGCCTGGGTCTGTAAGGGCAGGGAATTAACGGAGCAAAAAATAGAACCCACCCATGCAAGTCCCTGGGAAAAATACTCACTCTCTGAGCATTTCTGCTCTGGAAGCTGAACTCTCCCGCAGCATCAGAGACACCTGGCAGCTGCATTCTCCAACTTGGTTCCTGAAATATTTACGTGAAATCAGAAAAGCAGAGGTTTCTCCTCCTTCCAAAACTGTAACTTGCCTGAGCTAAGTGATTGTGTGTTGCACTAAAGCAGCTCAAACCCAGTGTGGCATCCTCCTTTCCTATGTGGTGGTTGCCTGAGTGGATTTGGTCCCCTTATATTTGGAGCCAAGTTATCTCAAATAGCTTTTACTGATCTGTTGCTATCTACACTGGGAACAACACACTCCCTGAACAAAAATCAAAGCAATTTACAGAATGAAGCAGCTGCAAACAAACAAGCTAAAGGAAAACAAATACAAAAGCTGGAAAATCAAGGCAGAGGATGGGGCTGTTTTGCAAAGTTGAAAATCTTTCCAACTCTGCCTACTGTTTATTTATTCAAACCCAAGCTCTTAAGTTTTCTAATGTTAAGATATTAAAAGCAGGGTCTCATTTCCTTCCCTCCCCGCTGGCCCAACCAATCAGCAAAACCCATCTACATGGATTGCTCCAGCCTTACATGTTTATATTAAAAAACATAAAAGTGTCACCATATATGGTGCTGAGTACTTATTCTTCCTTTTGCAGCGGAATACCATGGATGCCTTCTGGAAAGGGCTCCCATTAAAGAATTCATTTAAAGTGCTCCCCCCGCCCCCGCTGCTCCCTCCCTCTCCAAGAGATATATCATTCTTCTAGCCCCAAATGGCTCTTCTCCACTTAACACAGGAGATGCCAAAAGCAAAATTTAACTCCCCCAGGGCAGCAGTTGTGTAACTGTTGCCACTGTTCCCCTGAACTGCTATTAAAAAAACAGACTTGAATTGATTAAGGAATAGATAGCTTTTATTAGTAAAAACACTTCTTTCCTTCCAAGTTTAAGTATAAGCTTGTAAGTGGACTACAAAATCCTGGATGACTTTTCTTTTTCAAAGAAAAATAATTTTTGCTACTGAAAACATTTCCTGGACATTAATAAAACACACGTGTATTGGGGGGAGGAAAGAAAGAGAGGCGGGTTTTCCCAGACATGTTCTCCTTTCAAAAGACTTGCTAGATAAGAGCACCTTCGAGT